ACTCGCTCTCATGAGCAATTGGTAATAGCCATCGACCAAGTCGAGTGCACTGTACTTTTACAGCCAACCATTTTTTTGTGGGAACATCCTTCCTAGGAGTCGGCGTCTGTGCCGAAATGGTGGAAACGTTTAGCTTATCAAAAGCGGTAGCGCACAACTATACACCCTCGTCAACAGTATGACGGAGAGGAAGACGGCGACGTCGCCTTCGCGGCTATTCCTGCGGAAGATGCTCTTCTTGAGCTGGACCAGATGTCCTTCGAAGAGTTCAGCGGCAACTTATCCGAAGTGGTCATCGGACGAGAAAATAAACTCGTCGTCGCTTCTAGATGAAGCTGTCCCGAAGGACACTTAGGGTGCTGAACGCCCGGAGTGGTTCGTCGATCCTGAAGGATCCTTCAAATTCGTACTATTTTTCGGTGAAGCTATTTCAAGTCGTCGTCTCCAAAGATCCGCCGTCGGTTCTACCCCGGACCGAGGTGTGCGTCATGAGATCAACCTGGTTCCAGAAACCAAATACCGCGTAACACCCCAATGGCCCCTGACTGAGGAGCAGTGTGATGTTATGACACCTTTTTTCGCGCGAAGCACGACGCAGGAATGGTGCGTGAGAGCAAGCCTCCATATACGACACCCACGTTTTGTGTCCGGAAGCCGACCGACAAGTGGCGTCACGTCTACGATAGACACATCCTGGGTCAGGGTCGACGCCCAGCGTCTTGCAGCTAGCTTACGGCGTCGCTGTCGCATGCTGTACGTCTCGGCGAGACTGTGGTAACACGCACACGGCATCGATCAGCGTCATCACTCCATGCTCCACCGGAGCCTTGATGTTATATACTACATCCGACAAAGAGCTGCTATTTACGCAGTCTTCGACCAAGGTATAACGTGCCATTCCACGCGCATCAGAAGGGCCCTCCCAGGATGCCTCGGACCTCGTACGATCATGCCACTCTTGGCATGCAGCAACTGCTCCAAAACGGAGCAGTACTTGGTATATTAAGTGTCAGTCCACGTGCATCACTGAGGCCTCGCCCTCAACGCCTCGGACCTCGTCCGACCATGCCATGCATGGCGTGCAGCAACTGCTCCTATACTTGAGCAGTGCTCAGTGAGTTACGTACCAATATGCGTTCAGCCCGCGAGCCATGCTCAGGACTCTTGTCCAATACACTTTCGGTGTTCGACAATTCGGACATGCACATTGACCATCCCGGTCAAGTGCCCGCGCCAATAGCGCTTCTCATTCCTAGCAGAGGTGGGTTCATGACTCACCAAGCACCACTAGGATACGTGCGCGTAGCACCCAATTTCTTCGACATCCAATCAATTCATGGCTCATGGTGTTCCAACCATGCCATACCAAGGATAAAGTCATACCTAAAAACCAAGTCTAAGACTAAGTAGCGTTCCACGCTATCAAAGTCAAGTAACTCGACACTGAGGTCCTCAGGGATGCTCGGCACAGTAACACAAGTCCTCGTCGCCAAGCAAACAGTGACGGTGTCACTCGACCGGGCTTTCTGGCCTTAGCATACAACTTCCTTCGATTGTGGAGTGTCGAGCATAGTCCCCGATCACCCCGGAATCGATAAGGATCTTCCGTGGCTTCTCAAAGCCCTTCACGGTCGCTTTTACGACTAGCAAGCCTGACGTTTCGTTTTCAAGAGCACGAAGCTGCTGCCGTCTATCTCTTTAAGGCACAACAGAACTCAAGTCATCCTCAGTAGGGCGCTCCGCGCCTACTGAGTACTCTCGTTTCTCCGCGTCATAACAGACTGGCTAGAAGCGAATGTCGATTCGACGAACTTTTACGCAGCCTTGCGGAGGGAACAACCCGTCCGAAGTCGATGCGGATCCTCCTCAAACAAAACACCTTTGGTTGTTTACAAGTTGCACAGCAGCTCGGAGCTCTCCCTCCTCCTTCTCAGCATAGCTGAGATCCATTGGCTCAGGTTCGCTCTGAGGGTGTTCATTCCAACCAAGTCGTGCCAGCTTGAAGTTGATTTCGGCTATTCAAAACCACGTTCAACGCTTCTTCTAAAGAATACGGATGCACACGAAAGACTTCCATTCTGGCCACGATAGTGCGAAGGCCAACCACAAAGACGGTCACTGCGACCGCCTCGGGGAAAGGATCGGCTGCCATCCCGGCAATAAGAATTCTCAGCTGTTAAACAAAGTCCATCAACTCCATCTTGCCCTGTCGAGCAGCAAAAAACACGATCTTACGCGTTATGCCTGATTAGGCGGCGAGAACACTCGCAGAAGCTAACGCTTATATAAGAAGTACGCAGCTTCAACCAAAGCACCGCAAGTTAGTGACCATTCTCGCGCTCCGCCCTCGAGCTTGGAGAAAGCTAGCGCCACGCGCTGTTGCTCATTTCAGAGCATGGCAGATGCGATAACCATCTCGACCTCTCCTATCTAAAGCAGGAGATTCTCTCCATCCTTACCCTCAGAGGTCTTAACGCTCACCATGAGCGGCCTGGGTCGAAAGGAATCATCCGTCGTTGACGGTGGCGTCATAGACGCGGTCGACGCTGACAGCCTCTGCTGTAAGTGATCTGACCGAGCATTTTCATAGCCTGAAAACGCATCTAGGCGCGCGCTTATAGCCTCGGGACCTTGCGCAACGAGGTGCTCCACGCCCCCACCGCCTTGCAGGGACATCAGTCTTTTAAACCCGTCCTGCATGCCCTTGAGCATAGGAGTATTACTCCATCTCCATAGTAGTAACGACTCAGGCGTAGATTTACTACAAGTGCTACCAAGTGCAGCGGGGCTGCCGTAGCTCTTCTCTTGGAGGAAGCTAGGCTAAGGTCACTGACCTTACGTTCTCTCCAAGAACTAGTACGAGTGTAGCGAATCGCAATCCGCGATATCTAGGCGCTAAAGCCTTAGCATGGCAAACGAACACTTCTGTTCAAAAACAAAACTGTACTTCATTGTTTAGTTGCGGCAGAGCCGCCAATATCTAAAACCATAGGTTTTTAAATTAATATAGTAATACTAATTAATATAGCAAACTTGATTACTATAGTAATATGCATTACTACTGGTAAACCTGCCACTTAGTGGCTTCTTGTTTCGGTGTAGCCATACCACTGTGTTATCACACTAACTGTGTAATACACACCTATGTACGGTCGCACAATCTTGTGCGACCCGTACTTTCTTACAAGGGCAAGTGTAACCCGTTACAACGCCCCACCGCCTCGTGGTAAGAGCCTTCGGCCATGGTTCAGGAATCAGGTCAGCTGTATTACGCCATCTCGATTCGGGGGCAACGCGCGTGCGGGGTGTGATATTTTTGAAACAGAAGAAAAGACTTGTAGGATCGTGAGAACAGACGATCAGTTGTGGGGCTCAATGCTTTTATAACAAAATCCTACGTGATAGACGAGTCGCTCAGCTCCTCTTTTGATATTATTAGTACCAACTCCATGATTTCTTCTCCTTGTAGCCCCTTATATGCCCTAAGAGAAGATTCCTCGGGATCTCCACGAGTTTTGGCGTTGTTAAGATAAACGACTAGCTTTCCCCTTGGATTAGCCCCCGTCACCCCATTTGCTAGTGTATGCACTTGTTCGCTGCAAACCTGTGAAGCTTCGGTGCACTGGGGGTGTCACTCGATGTTGTTGCCTGAGCTGTGTTGGCCAGGATGAACCATTCTTAGTCTCGTCAGATCCAAGCTCATCTGCCCACGACTCTTACTTGCATTGATGCAAAGATGTTTGTCCTCCTTTTCAGCGCAAGCCAAGTACTATTTTAAGCATGCTCAATATCATCTGACTCATTTAAGTCCGATATAGGATATCCAGCGGAGCAAGCTTCCCCCACGATCATGCCAAGTATTCTTTCGCGAGCGTCATACTCACTGTTCTCGAAAAATAGCAGTCAGCTTTAATGTTAATTTAAACAGGACATAGGCTGACAAAATATTAGTAACGGAGCTGTGACGGATTAAAGACAGCAGAGAACTTCATATTCGGTAATTTATCGAAGCATTTAAAAGTGTTTGTCAATACCCCAAAAAGCATATAAAGTAGATAAATGTTAAATTCGTGTGATACCAAAACTAGTAAATCGTACAAATTTACGACTATATTAAGAAGAATCCACTTCGGTGGTCATCCGTAAAAATTGGAACGACTATTTTAAAAAAAGTAAACAATTTTATTTAAATTGAGTTATGTAACTGTTATGTCAAATTTCCTAGTCCGCGTGGCCTAATGGATAAGGCATCGCCCTCCGAAGGCGGGGATTGGGGGTTCGAGTCCCCTCGAGGACGAAAATTTAAAAAATTCTTATCAACATTTTCGTTATGATGTTTTTGATATGTTTGCGCTGAAGAACAAGTTTTGATGCATACATCCGACTTCACTACTACTGTCAAGTGCGCAGTTTGGTGTCGGACAGCGCACATGATTACCAAGCGCATATACACTAGGGCGTAAACTTCACACACAAGCCCAAGGGACGATGACGGCACTCTTCAATTGCAGTACCAGAGACTACCGGTGCTTACAACTTGCGAGCAGCGATTACCGCTTCTAAACGAAGGTGCAAGAGCCCAGAAGCTCGTCTCACTGTTTTCGTTTGTAAAGCTAAGAATATTTATATTGACAAGGCCTTAAAAAAATGATAGTTGAATAATTAGACATTTGATTTCATGCAGCCCGTTTTAAGTATCGGCGCTGATTGTAGCTTGCACTGCTAAAACCAAACAGCAATGCCCTAACTAAAGGAACTGTGATCTTTTGTGTTGCCTGTGAGGCGGCGAAATTTCTGTGCGATTTCATCAAACTCGGTGCTGAGGTCATCGAGGGAGTTAGCTAGTGCTTCCACAGGTGATGAGGCGTCATTTGTCTGCACGCGCACGATGATGTCATGGATAAGTGGATGCGGATGGCGGTAGCCGCTAAATGTCACGTTTGGGTCGCGCAGCAACTGCCTATAGGGATTTGAGCAGGCAAGAAAAAATTAGCATGGACATTTATCAATGAATAACCCTCTTGTTTTGTTGTGACGCACATGCGGATTAGATTGCCCATAGTGTGATCCTCACGCAGGATAGTAAACTTTCCAGCGTTCGAAATCTTTGTATCCTTCTCATACGTAACTTTTTGGGCGCCCTCAGGAAGCAGGTACGAGTCACTGCGATTTGGTGCGTTCATTGTTGAGAATGTTTTAATTAACAAAAATCTACCGCATAATTTACAATCTGAATATTGCTCTTTTGAACAATTTTCGTAAAAAGATTCTCTAACAGTAAATCATATTTTTTGTACGGTCCCCGTTAAGATCAACAGCACATGCACTTTCAAATTGAAAAAAACGATGCTGTTTGAGCTGGTAAGTTGCTCTGCAGCGCAGGAGATCAAGCTGGCTCAGCTAAATACACACTGACGTCTCTTCAACAAGAGCCAACCTCGACATCTTTTGCTCATAAATTATACAAAAGGAGTATCGCTCAGTTTAATATGCCATCTTCAGGATATGCGCAAGAGAAGACTTTCTTGCTGGGTAGACTTTGCAGCCGTGCTTAACGAAAACGCTAGATTCGAGTCAACGGAAATGCTAGAGCGTCCGCATCGATTTTGCTACTCTTTCTTGTACGTGGCAAAAGTATGATTCGTAATTTGGACAAGGTACGTGTGCCATGCAACATGATATCATCAGCATAATATTAGTATCACCTGACGAAGTCCTTATCATGCCTTTGTCAATTCATCTTTATTTATTATCAGAAATGCTTGTCATACAGAGCATTCTAATAATGGCCATCTATCGTTTGCTGTCACTGCAATGAGCTCTACACTTGTTTGATACAAAGGAATGATTTCAGATGATGAAGTGTGTAGACACTAATCTACAATCGCCATGTCCTTAGATCATGACCATTTGTAAGGATCGAGATCATGCTTTGCTTCTCAAAAGTTTGGCGAATCCAAAACCCATCAGGCCAATAACAGTCACACCAATCAAGTGCATGCTCAGCGGGACACCGAAAGGAGGAACAGGCGGAACTGGAATATTGCCAGGGTCTTTGTAAAGTTGCGTTCGCCGGTGCTTCGGATCACGGATGATAGCTGCCGCTCGACGGCCAGCTACGAATCCATCCTCATGAAAGCCGCGTCCTAACCAAGCGCCGGAAAGAGTAATACCCTCCTCTTGAATGATCTCGTCTTGCGGGATGCAGTCCGCTAGTAGACGTGGGTGGTCCCAACGAAAGGCAGATATGACTTTATCAGGAGCAGGAAGTTTACCCTTCCAGTCGTGCGGTGTGATGGTCACGAATATGTGCTCCTTGCTGTTAAGACGCTGGATTCGGTTCATCCAATAAGTTAAGATGTACTGCTCATCTTTGGTGATGAGGACGTTCCAACTGCTCCACACTTTGTTCGACGGCGGTAGCATGATGGGGTCACGGTGAACATACATTATGCTTTTATGGAAGTGGAAACGCATCAGTGAACGGTAAGCCTCTTCATTCCAACGCAACATTTTGGCACTCTGGTCAGCGTGAGTTGCGAGGACGACGTGGTCGCACTCGATTCTTTCTCCATTTTCCAACACAACGGCTTTGCCGCCTCTTTCGACCTGGTCAACCGTGGCATTGTAACGTACTGTACCACTGTGCTCTTCCGTAAAAAATTTAAGGAATGGCTCAATGTAGCCTGAGCCAACGTACCACCACAAGTGCTTCGGACGGTCTGTGCGACGCCCCAGCGCGCCGAGAATTACCTGCCACAGCGGGATGTACAATGAGTTGGAGTGCGACTTCAGACATCGAAGAAATTGTGTCACAGGCAGATCTAAAACATCATGTTTGGGCACCGTCCAGAGAATAGAGACAAAGGCTAGGAAATAATGGCGAAAAAACTCGTTGGAGTAGCGGCCTTTTGACGCCCATTCACGTGTAGTAATTTGATCCTTCACAGGCATCGTCATAAGATCCATCGTAAACTTGTAAATGTCAATAAGCACGCGCCAGATTCGAACGTCGAAGAGATTGCGCACACTGCCATGAAACGGGGCACGGGATGAGAACTGCAGATCGCCTTCTACATCCGATGTGACTGTGAGGCTCATAGGAATGCGCTTCTTTGTCGTTCCGTCCGGCTGTGTGATGCCAAACGACTTAAACCAGCCTTTGATGTTGGGGTTTGAGTCTCCAAACATCATAAAGCCGATATCTACCATCTCGCCGTCAATTTCCATTTCGTACGTGTGACCGCCCAGCATCGCATTTTTTTCGAGCAGTATAACTTCGTGACCATCTTTGACGAGATGGTATGCGGCAGAGATACCACCGATACCAGACCCGACGACAATGATCTTCATAATGTTGCGGGGATTGACCACCAATGGATTCTTAAAATGATTTGCAAATTCAGCTCCACTTTTCAAATTATTTCAATCGTTTTTATGTAAGCTTTTCGAAAAGACTGGACGTTTAAACGAAGCTTTTTTCTTATCTGTAAAGGGCAATAATCTTACACATTTAGTATGGATGTAGTAAACACGTTGCGTATGAAACTTTCACTATACTTGGTGTCATTGTGAATATGGTACCTATATTTATGAAGATGACGAAGCCGAAACATAGGTATGGTCAGATATAATACCAGCGTTATTCTAAGATATTAGAACGAATTTCTTTAATATTACACTAACTCCTAATATATACTCTTGGAAATGGCAGAGCTGTCACACTAATTCCTAATATATACTCTAGAGCTAAGTAGACACCGAATTGCGGTATAGGCTACTCGCACACAGGAAGGTTTGACTTTTCAAGTCCTTCGTTAGCTCACAGAGTTTGAATTAGTGCGTTCCTACCTATCAGATAACTATACTCTGCTATTTGTGTAACATCGGACCCCGTAATATACCGAAATTTTCGGTATTTGAATACTCAGAACTTACTACTTATTCGAAGTTCAGTATCATGTAAGATACCGACATTCCGGTTATATTGATACAACTGTAATACATGTTAAAGGTTTGCCCCGTTACATTCTCGGTTATGAAGGTTTAACGGGATTACACGTACCCTTGTATAGGGTGTGACCGTACAAAGGTGTGGATTACACAAGTTGGTGCGATCACACAATGGTGTAGCTACACCGTAACATAGTAATGCATATTAGTTAGGTTTTACTATTTGATTAAGATAACCTAAGGTTTAAGATGTTGGCGGCTCTGCCGCAAATAAAACAGTTAAATACAGTTTCAATTCTGAATGGAAGAGCATCTTTGCCTTGGTTAACGTCTTCAAGTACTCTTCGAGGTAGCGGATTGCGATCCGCTACACTCATACTGGTTCTTGTATAGAACGTAAGGTCGGTGACCATAGCTTAGCTCCCGCTAAGCAAAGAGCTTCGGCAGCCCCGCTGCACTATATAGCACTTGTAGTTAAATTACGCCATAGTCGCTACAACTGATCCTCTGTGAGGATGGAACAATTCTTCAATTTGCCCCAGGGCATGCAGGACGGGCTTAATAAGCTGATGTCCCTACTTGGCCCTGAGGGTGTGGAGCACCTTGTTTCGCAAGGTCCCGGAGCGATAAACGCGCGCCTAAAGGCGTTTTCGAGCTATGAAAATACTCTGCTAGAGCACTGACAGCAGAAGCTGTCGGCGTCGACAGCGTCACCGTCGACAGCTTCACCGTCGACGACGGATGACTCCTCCCGACCCAGGCCGCTCATGGTACCTTCGAGAGTAAAAATAATGGGAATCTCTTGCTCTGGGTAATAGAGGCCGAGATGGTAATGGCATCCGCCATGCTCCTGACTCCGGGGCGTCGGGCAATTATGCTCGACACTCCACGATCGAACGAAGCCAGCTGTATGACGAGGCGCTGAAAGCGCGGTTGAGTGACACCGTCATTTTTGCTTAGCGACGAGGACTTATGTCACTG